AAAAAAAAAAGGATGATTAGCCGAATTCGCATTGTATGTTTAAGACAATTTATTCAATTTCGATTTATTTCAGTTGCACCCCTTATATTCAGAGTTAAAATTTTATTGCAAAAGATACAAAAAATAATGCACAAAAATTCTTATTGCACTAATATTTGTACAAAATTTTTAACACTGTGCTGTCCTATGTTTAATAAAATGTAAATTTATACATTTCTCCCCTTCAATCCCATATTGTAATAATTTCATAGTAAATTTCTCAAAAAGATATGATTGTTATGCTTTGTTGGGTTGCTATCTTCAGCAGATTTCAAAATGTCATTCAATTGCTGTTTTTCATCTTTGATTGTGTCCATACCGTTTTCATAGTGAAATCCAATAACATATTGCTTATCACGAATATCCGATCATTATTTGATTAACTCTATTGCGAAGTGATATGAAACAAAAAATTACATATGAAAAAAATCACAAAATTTGATTTTCATAACATGAGAATTTAAATAGGCCCGGCAAGCTTTTTCTTAAAATTTTATATATGAAAATTTTATAGTTTTTTATAAAAATTTTCTTAAAAACTCACCCAGTTATTAAAACAAACAAATTTGGCCTGTCCGGGTTATGAAAACCAATTAATAATTTTGCATAGCCTTATATATAAGATTTTAAACATACCCAAACATTCAGCATTACGTTTAAGAAAAAGAATTTTTCCAACAATCTTCGAACCTAATCATGTACGTTGGGAAGTAATCAAATTCCCTGCATCTGAAAACAGTCTTTCGCACAGGACAGATGTTGCTGGTACGCATAAATATTTACGTGCTAACAGTGACAAAATCGGAAATTCAGTTTTATGATCGTTCCACCATTGCCAAGGATTGGCATTGTAATTAATATGGGCCATATTTAAATATTGTGTCACTTCATCTAGAGGCGTATCTTGGTCTTGTGCTCCAAAAATACCTTCAAAAAATGGATTTTGCATAATTTCAATACCTATTGATGTTGATGTTTGTTGTTCCGGTTGATAATTATCAATAACATTAAGGCGTTGTAAATTCTCAAATTCATTCCTTAATTTTTCTCTGGCCTTTTCTCGTTCTCTATTTGTAAATGCTGACATTTTTTTTGTTCGGGGGTCTAAAAGGGTAGCTACTAATCCGACGTCACGAAAATCATGCCAATATTTATTTAAAGAATCTGAAATAGCAATTTTAAATTTCTTTTCGATTTGATCGAGATCAGGCAGTGGTGGTGGTGCACATGGAGTGTCATCTTCACCTTCAGAATCCAATATA